TCTCTCTCTCTCTCTCTCTCTCTCTCTATATATATATATATATGTGTATATATAAATGTTGATTTTTATTTAAAAAATATATTTTCACTTTATTTTTAGACAGTGTCCAAGTGTTAAATTTTTGTGTTAATTTTTCACATAATATTTGTGCTTTCATCATATTCCATCTTTTTACACAAAGGTATGAATGGCTCATTGATGCACATGAAATATGTTAAATTCAACAGAAATTTTCCAACTGCGTTCGAAAATAGCAATAGAATTTTTATATTGTCATAAAAAAGATATAATATACAATATTTTACATTTATTGTATGTACAGATTTGTAATTATTAAATCAGTATTTTTTAAAAATCTATTAAGTTTCCTAAATCATATTATCACAAAGTAAATCTGATAATTAGCAATACTAAAATTGATAATTTACATGAATGTATTATAAAAAATGATTGCAAAAATAAATTCAATTATTAATAATTATTAAATAACAATAATGAAAATGCAAAGATATCGAAGTAAAAATCAAGTTATTATATATTTATTTCTTTTTATGAATTATTGAAATCAAGAACCTATTAGTTAATTATTAGTATTACTTAATGATTTTTTTATTAATCTATTATTTTTAATTATTTTCATTCATATATTTTATATTCGATACTTTAAAAAAAAATATGATTTGAAAAACATACAAATTATTTAATTAGATCAGTTGCCTAAATTATATCTTTTGCAATATGTTATAAAAAGATATATAATAACTGTAATTGATGAAAAGTTAAACATGTTATAATAAATATTTAAAACATCATGCTACAATTTACAATATTTATTTACATACAAATTAGTATTAAATAAATAAGAAGAAATAACTTGAGTGATACGCATTCAGCTGCCCTCCTAAGTATATTAAAATTTGAAATTTTTAGTCACATACATATAATAGAATGTATCAAATGAGATTGAAAGATAATGGATAATTCAATTGAACAGTTTAAAATCAATTATTCAATTCTTATAAGATGATCCTAATTTGCAGTTAATAACGTATAAGGGAAATGAAATTTATTATTAATAAGACGAATCTCGGTGAAAAATCAGCATTACTTACATCACCAAAAGTTGGAACAGATAAATGGATTAATTTTCCTGCGGTGATTTTAATTACGTTATTTGATCGGGCAATAATCAAAACAAGATCACGTGCAGTTTTGTGATGTAGATTATACCAATCAGTCATATATGCCGTTTCTCCTACATATTTGCACTAATTCATGAGATTAAAATTTTCTATGAGTAATAAAAGGAATTTAATAATTAATAATAATAATTTTTTAGATTACATAGATGTTGAAAAAAACACTCAAAATTGACAATTAAAAATGACAATTATATTTTAACATTTTTTTCGATTAATGTAATAATATTATATTTCATACTTTCTTTAAATATTGACCAAATTAAAAAATAACAAAATTCAATATTTTAGTTCTAATATTTTTAATTCTTAATTTCTTACCTGTTATTTAATAATTATTAATAATTATTAATTAAACTTTACCTGTTCTGTAACAATCTCCCCGATGTAGCAAAATATGAAAATGTTGAAACTCATTGATAAATACACTGTAAGGGAAGATGTTATTTTTCCTGTATCAAGTGTTTCCCAACCCTATGCAGGTAAAGAATTTGTATTGAATTCAACGTATTTCATACGGCTATTGATCCACTTTTTATGTGAATGTAACATATGATGGAAAGCAATGCAAATATTACTTAAAAAATTAACACAAAAAATAGAACACTTTGATACAGTTTAAAATTGTAGAAGTATATTTCTTGAGCAAAATTAATATTTGTAATTTAAATTAACATATTTATTTTATTCATTTAACTTAGAATTTAACTTAATTTTCAAAATGTATTATTTTTGTGTTATTTATGTGTTACCTAGAACCTGTTCATGAATTGTGTTTCTTTAATACTAATAATTGTTGTCCATTAATTTAATACAAAATGTTTCAACAACATAATGATATTATGTTAAATTTACATGAATATGTTAAAAACTCAACACAATACCTTGTCAACAACCGACTTTAACACGAATACAAAATATTTTTTATTATGTAAAAATTAGATGAGCTTATTTTTACTATATAATTTGTTTTACTATATAATTCGTTTTTAATACACATTTTATAACAGAGTAACGATGTTTGACTTTCCATAAATAAATGACATTTATTCGTATAAAATAAAAATTTCTATTTTCTCTATAGCGTACCGTAACAGTATAATATCCAAGCAAAGACATGATTACCGTGCACCCCGTTAATTGCACAAAAGCGGCTTTATGCGTAATACTTTCCACTTGCGATATAAAACTGAAACATTTATAAATGTATACAACATAGGAAAATTTTTTTATAAATAATCATCGGTATAATGAACTTATTTTTCATGAACAATGTCAATTTTTCAATTGATAAATTTCGTTTTAATCTATAAGAAAAAGAAAATAAATTTTAACAGAAATATTTATTTTTAAATGATTATTAATTTATATAATTATTTAGAAATGAATTATAAGGATATGAATTTTTTTAATGAATGCCTATTGGTGAAATACCTCAATATTCTCAGATGATGTTCTATGATAGCAGCCAGTTTTCGCTCAATTTTATCATTTTCCTTCGCCTGATTTTGAACTAGTTCATGTAGCCACATGTACAGCACGTTCAACTGACCACAAGCATGTATCGCGAAAACAGCAGCCAAACTGCAACCACCAGCAGTACAAAAACTTACTAGTATTACTATCATGTTTTGCAGGATTAATGCAATTTCATTCATAGGGGTAAATCTCGTATCGATAATTTTGCTGTAAATTGGACACGATATTGTATGTGTTGTAAATGTTTCATTGCCGATGATAATGATTACAGTTCTTATAGATTGCACGAAGCTGAACAATAGGCAACCACCCTGCAGCATTATCCCACAAATTATGGTAATGAAACGGCCATACTTGGCATGTTGTAACATCACTTCACGTTCATCGAGTCTTTGCATAAGACACCAGTCTGTCTCCATATGTTGTATTAATTTTTGAATATCATTTCTACGCTTGAGCAATACCCAGTAATGCATCGAGCTCATAAATCTGTTGATTAGTGGCATCATAGGATTCAATTTTTGCTGGATATTCTTTGCCTCAAATAACACATATAATAAACACGGTATTGTTGGGACTGCTATTATGCTTAAACAAATGAAAATTTGTAATAATATTATAATTTTGTACACTGAACTTGATGCACTTATTTGTGGCCAGGCTCCGATTGGCTTGAGAATCCATTGATTAAATTGTAAACTGTAATTGATATGTTTTTCCGGTATTATTTTTCCTGGCGCGCATTTGGAATTTGACATGATCACTACATGAAAGCACAGAGTGTACTGGCACAGATGGACAATTCATTGTACCGAAATATGATGGAGCGCCTGCGCTAATCTTTAGCAGAGTTTAGTGACCGGTCTAACATTATAAAGTTACTCGAGTGTATATTCAATCAATATAATTGTTCGTCTACAGTTTCTGTTGTCAGATATCTGAAAGACTATTGCGTGACATAAAGAGTGTAAAGTATAGATTTGTGAGAGATTGGAAATGATTTATCTTAGATTTCTCCGTTTTGGTAATGTATTTTAATATTCTTCTATTGAGATTAATATGATAAATTAACTGAATGACGATAAGAATTGGAATATAAAATGTAAAAAAATATTATGTGTATTATATATATTATATGATACATAAAAGTGAGAAATATATGATAAATATATGCATAAATTTTTGAATAATGTCAAGAATTCAATGCAATTCTGACATAATTAATTATATTTATAAAATCTTGATTTAAAGTATACACCGAGTTGTGATTGTATATACAATTATGAAATTATTAACATTATTTATTAATCATCGATCGTCAGTTGGCACTTACATATGATTGATGCTACGAGTTCTAAATTGGACATAAAAAAATTTCGAACTTTTATTAATTATGGAATTGCGAAGGATTACAAATTTTGTAGTTCAAACAGGACAGTTTGGAAGTTTAGTTTGACTTATTATAACAAATATTTAAGGGATTAACCTTATTTTCAATAATTTGTTCTGAGACATAAAATATAATGTAATATGTATCTTTTGAAGTATATTAATGAAGTATATTATTGATTTTGATATAATTATTGATTTTATTAATCTTTGTTGCATAGAGTGCCTTATATAGTTTATGAAACGTCTTCATCATTTTATAATATTTCTTTGTTTTGCACGTTATATAATTGTTTATATATCGTATTGGATACCATTATGTTTATAAAACATAATGAGTATGTGTACATGAGTAACATGAAGAAATAATTATTTTACGTTAGCAATAGATTGTAAGTATAAACCTAACCAAAATTGAAATTTTTTTTACAAAATCTTTATGCTGGATGGAATATGATCATAAATGTTTCCTAAAAATCTTTGTTGTAATGTTTGTAGGATCATTTATTTTTAATTTCAAATTTGTGCAATAAGGAATTAATCTTATTTTCAGAATACAGTAATTTGTTCTGTATAAAATATATATAATATTTGTATATATTTTAACTTACTTCACATAATCATTTTTTACGTCATTGTTCGCAAAAAATTTAAATATGCCATGGAAGTTTTAATTACCTAGAACAACAATATACTTGTTTTAATAGAAAGAAAAAATAATGCATATCGTATTCTCTACAAGTTCTTATTAATTTATAGGTATGAATTTATTAAAATTTAAAATTAAACATATGAATGTTTCCATATAATGAATAATTTAATTAAGCAATGTAATTCTTACGAGGTGATTGTTTTGTTATTAATAAAGATAAAGAAGATATAATTTATTAATTTTTTAATAACAATATGTGTGCATTACTTACATCACCAAAAGTTGCGATAGATAAATGGAATAACTTTCCTGCAGTGATCTTAATTACATTATTTGATCGAGCAATAATCAGAATGAGACTACGTGCAGTTGTGTGATGTAGATTATACCAATCAGTCATATATGCCATTTCTCCGACAAGTTTGCACTAATTTGATATAAAATTTTGTGTGAGTAAAGATAATTGGGATTAACGTAATATTGAAGAAAATAGAAATATTCAAATTTCTTAAAAATGAGACAATTTCATTAAAAAAATTATAATTTAATAATATTTTTTTTATTAATATGGAAACGTTGCATTTTATTCTTTTTTTAAAATATTAACTAATTTGTTAAAGAAATGTTAAAATGTGAATTTTTATTTTAATTTATTTTAATTCATTTTAATTCTCGACGTATTACCTGTTCAGTGACAATTCCTCCGATGTAGCAAAATATGAAAATATTGAAACCCATCGATAAATATACAATAAAATAAGATGTTATTTTTGCTGTATCAAGTGTTTCCCATGCCTACGCAATTAAAAAATTTATGTTAGAGAAGAATGGTTAATAAAGCCGTTTTTGAGCCCCAATCGATTTTCATTAAATAATTTTTTATCATTTCACGTGACTAACGATTTGAACTTTTGTGTAATCTGTCTTTGTAACACAAGATGATGTTAAGAAGTAATGCAAATATTATGTAAGAAATATTATATAAGAAATTAACACAAGTAAAACATAATAGGAATATTATGAAAGTATTATACTTTGAATAAAATTAATTAATTTATATATAATATATGTATATATAATTAACGCACATTTTTTTTATTTATCTTAGAATTTATACTCTAAAAACATTAGTTTTATGTTATAAGTTTTTGTATTGTATAAATTATGTCTCTTTAATATTTAGAAATGTTTAATATCAAATAAACCAAAACATCCAAATAACATTTTATATTATGTTATATTATGTTAAATTAACACATATGTCAAACATTCAACATTGCTTTAAAAATGACTGAATTTATGGGTTTTAACATAAAAAAATATCTTTTACTATATAGAATCTTTTACTATATTTTACTATATAGAAGTTAAAATATGGACTCATCTTTGTCATATGATTTATCGGTTTTATACATATTTTGCAATAGGATTGCGATGTCTGTTTCTTGTGATAGATCATTCACAAGAATATATTTAGGGTTTAAGAAGATTTTCTTACATTTCTAGCGTACCATGATTGTATAATATCCAAGCAAGCACATGACCATTGTGCATCCGGTTAATTCCACAAGAGAAACTTTATGCATAATACTTTCCACTTGTGATATAAAACTGAAACGTGTAAATGTACGTAACATAGTAAGTTTTTTTTTAAATAAATTATCGACACACTGAAATTATGCTTTTATAAACACAATTGACAACAGATTGTCTTTTAGTAATCTATAAGAAAAAGAAAATGATTTTATCCTAATTTTAACGCAATATCTATTTATAAATGGTTAATTATTAATTTATGATTATATAGAAATTTAATATAATTTATTAATATTTAATATAATTTAATATAATTTACAACATAGAATATGCATTTTTAAAATGAATGCCTGCAATGCCTGCTCATGAAATACCTCAATATTCTCAGATGATGTTCTACAATAGCAGCCAGTTTTCGTTTAGCTTTATCATTTCTCTTTTCCTGGTTTTTAACTAATTCATGTAGCCACTCGTACAACACATTCAATTGACCACAAGCGTGTATTGCGAAGACAGCAGCTAGACTGCAAGCACCGACAGTAGAGGAACTCACTATTAACATTGCTAGATTTTGCAGAATCAACGCGATTTCATTTACAGGGCTAAATCTCGTATCGATAATCTTGTTGTAAATCGGACACGTCATCGGATGCGTCGTAAAAGTCTCATTGTCGACGACAATGGTTACAGTTTTCATTGCCCTTGCCAAGCTGAACAGGATCGTTCCTCCATGCATGATTATTCCACAAATTATGGCAATGAAACGACCGAACTTAGCTTGTTGCAGCATTATTTCACGATCATCGAACTTCTGTATGAGACACCAATCTGTTTCCATGTGTCGTATTAAATTGCTAATATCACCACTGCGCTTAAGCAGCACCCAGTAATGTACCGAGCCCATAATTCTATGAAGTAATGGTCCAGTTGCACTTAGTTTTAGTTTGATGTTGTCTTTCTCAAATAACACATATAATAAACATGGTATCATGTTGGATGCTACTATGCTCGAACAAATAAAAATTTGTAGTAATACCAAGATTTTCCACACTAGGCTCGACTCTGTTTGTGGCCATGCACCAATTGGTTTGAGAAACCATCGATTAAATTGTAAATTATAATCGTTATGATTTTTTGATCTGTTGTTCTCTGGCGCGCATTTGAAATTTGACATGATCGCTGCCCGAAAGCATATGGTGCACTGTCACGGATGGACAACTCATCGTGCCAGAATATGACGAAGCGCTTGCGCCGATCTTTAGAAGAGTTTGGTGAACGATTTAATATCATAAAAGTGCCCTGAGAGGGACATATGTCGATATAAAGTGGTTCGTTGATGGTTTTTATTATCCGATGTCTGAGAAAACATCGCGTGTCGTGAGGAGTGTAAGGATTCGTGGAAGTGACATTAAGAGTTTTCTTTATTTTATACTGTAAAAAATCTCTGGGGAAGAAAGCATTCTCTGGGCAAATGGATGGAATGACTAGTAAGTCTCAGGACTACGCAATTTTAGTTATATGAATTATATTTAGTTATATGAACTATAATCGAGTCAAAATTATGTCGAATAAATATTAAGTCAGATGAATAATTTGATATAGTGAAAAGGATTAAAAAATTTAATCTAAGTAAGTGATTGACTTAATTATTCAACAAAGTATTTTTCTCTATTAATTTAATAGCATTATATTTTAGACTTTTTAAAAATATTGACTAAATTATAATAATAAATGTTAAAATCCAATAATTTCCCTAATTTCAATACATTTTAATTCTCAACATTTCTTATCTATTTTGTGACATTTCCCCACTGTGCAAAATTTTACAATGTTAGAACTATTTTTCCTGTATCAAGTTTCTAACTCTACAGTTGAAGAATTAAATTCAACACACTTGTCCATGATCCATTTAAATTTTTATGTGAAAATAATACAAAATGGAATATGTTATAGATAGCAATGCAAATATTATCTAAAAAATTAACACAAGCAATAAAACACTTCGATACAGTTTAAAAGCAAATTGTAAAATATTTCTTGAGTAAAATTAATATTTGTAATTTAAATTAACACTCTCATTTTATACATTTATCTTAGAATTTACATTTTTAAAATATATTGTTGTTTTTTCGCTTATTCGTAAATTGTTTTTTTAATACTAAAAAAATGTAAAAATTAAAT